TTTTTATGCAGTTGTTGTGATTTGTATTTTAAATATTGTTAGATTGGTGTTTTGTTTCCTTAACAATATTATACTTTAATGTATAATATTGTAAAGGAAACAAAACATCAATCAAAAAATTGTCTTTTTTTTTTCCTTTTAAATTCGGGCTACTTAAATGTATTTTGGGCTACCAAAAACTGATGAGTGCCTGCCCAAAGGGCTACCAGGGATTTTGAAATTTTGCGAGCCCTGTGTTTGATAACAGAGTCAAGTCAAAGATTCCTGTGGTGTTGATTCATGGCAAAAGGGGGGAGGCTATATTCAATATCCCGCATACAGAGGACTCACATCTATACATACAGCAATGCGCAAAAGTTTTGAGCTTCCCCTCATTTATTTATATTTTTCTTACCTGTGTTGCAATTTTTCAATTTTTTTTTTTTTAGCAATGGTGTTTCAGGCCTTCTGATGGGCTCTCAAAGGTTTTCTTTGAAATCTCTTCCACTCATTTTAAATTCAGTCATTGTTCCTGATTCTTTTCAAAAGAATGTGTTTTGTTTGTTTGTTAAACTGCCTATTGGTGATCTATGAATCATTCAACCCTAAAAAAGGCACCTAACTCAAGGGATGAACCAGTGTTGTGTCTACACATAGCAGATAACTTAGCAAAGAGACAGTTTTAAATTGTATTGTATTTCCTTTTGTTACTGTATAAATTGTGTGTCACAAAAACACACAATTTATAATCTACTATCTACAGTAGATGGATTGTGGCTGTCAAGAAGCTACAGGGAAACAGGGAGAAAAGGTATGAAGAACTGGACTGTAAAACAATGGCAACAGGCCTGATGAATCCAAATTTGATTTGAATTTGATTCAAATCACTGTGAGTGTGAGAGGTACAAGAGTGAGCGTATACAACCATTTGTAAAACCCAAGCTCTGTCATGTTTTGGATCTGCATTTGGGTGTTGGGATCTTATCAGAACTGATGGAAATATTTTGAACCACCATGCAATGCCATCTGGAAAACATCTGATTGATAACAACTTAATTTTTTAGCATGAAAACTGATCCCAAACATACATTAAAAGCAAAGTGGTTTGTTAGTTGTTTCATATGTATAAAACTGGTTAACTTGAGCAGTAGGTTAATAAGATTTTGGTTATAGTTTTTGTTAAAAACAATTACAAAAAAAGTCTTGGTGTTTAGGACTGACGGACGGTCAACTTAGGCATAAAAACCCCAGTTTTTATGTTTTAACAGCTCCATTGTTGATAATATGTTCTGTGGCCTTTTGCTCCCCTGACCCACAAAAACAGCATCCTCTCCAAGTTCCTCAACTTAACAAAGCAAACACTTCCACAGAATGGAGCAAGGCTGCGTCTCCATGTAGCAAGTTGGTCTGGAGAGGAAGAGCGAAAATGGGAATGGCTCGCAGGCAAGTCGAAATGAATTTGCATATTTAGAGAGTAATATGACATTTTTCTTAAAATAAATTAAAGGACTTTTTGCCAGGATTGGGACATTGAAATTCCGAGGATTTATTGTCTTAGTACTGGATGAGATTATCCCTGGAAAAATGAATATTGCCTATGCCATCAACAGGAGGCTGACATTTTTGGTTTACAATAAAAGTCTTGACAGTTATGGATTGTCCTGATATTTGACTTTTGTCTCAAGACTTTTCTCGCTGCATGGGCATTTCTTTGTATTAAGCCAACTTTTTTTCTCACTTTCTTTACTAAGATCTCTTTTGTAGGTTGTATCCCCTCACAGTAATGATTTTAGAGATGTTGGGAAGAGAAACAA